ATTTACATGGCACTACAATTCATCAGCAGAGTTGTGACAGCTTGGTCACAGAGCCATCCTTACCCTAGAGGTGGGATTGTTGCAGGTGACTTTTCGGCTAGCCTTATCTGGTCTGGGAAGATTAGTGAAAATGTCATTGATGATTGATGCAGTTTTAGTAAACTCCAGAGCCTTACACCCCCCCTGGAATTCGGTAGCATTGTTGTATAATTGGGGGCATTGCAGTCAGATTAGCCTTTTGTACATGAGGAATGTGTGAAAATGACTGTAATGTGTTCAAGGTAGCATGAGTGCTTCAACACTTGCCAATTCTGATAATCAAACATTGCATATCAAATGGTTTCTTTTTCAACAGTCAATGCTGCCTTGACATCTTGTAATTATAATAATATTAATAATAGTATTATTACGATTACGCAAAGCAAAATATTATTATTATCAATGAAAATCTTGTAATTACCCAGCAAGATCTGCTCCATGTTTTGATTCCAATTAAAATATTTATAAGCTAAAATAAAAGACACCTCATACATATCAATACAAATAAAAAAAAATTACCTCTGGTTAGTTATTAACATGTTTTCTTTAGGAGACCCAACCAAACCAAACAACAACACTCACCTTGGACTCTGTCAAAAAATAAATTGTTAAAAAAAAAAAAAATCAATTCGCATCTGTCCTACCAAAAAAAAAACCAATAGGATAAATAATTAATGTGTACACGTTGAACAAATACAAACTTCTTTTAAAAATTCTTTTAAAAAATGTCAAAATCTACGACAAAAAAAAGAAAACAAGAAAGAGAAATAATGGAAAGAGAGTAAGTGTTTTAAGGATGGTGGTGGTTATCGCCTGCCACTTGTTGTTACTCTAGTTTCATTAATACATTTAACCAATATATTAGAGAAAAAAGACCAAAAATCAGTCAAAATGACCTAAAAAAATATAATAAAGCTAGGGAGCTCGATGAGCACCTAGAAAAAATTCAGCATGATTACATGCAAGACTTGAGAGATAGGTTCAGGTCAGTTCGCCAACATGCAACTGCCCTGTACCTTCTTGACAAGCTTGCATTAAGGGCAGGATGCAAGAAAAGTGGCAAAAAAGCTGATACTGTGGGTTGTTGTTCCCTCAGATGTGAACATATTACTTTGGTATCACCAAGGACAGTTGAGTTTGATTTCTTAGGTAAAAATTCAGTAAGATATGTAAACTCAGTAGAAGTAATAGATCAA